CAACTTAAATAACTTTTATAGTATATTATTAATTTTAAACTATATATTTAATAATATAATATCTATGTAGATATTACATATATTATTTTGTGACATCAATTGCAAGTATATTATATATGTTCATATTATTTATATTTTTAATTTGTATTAATATACAATTTAACATGTAATTTTTTTATGTATTTCTTTATATAAAATAAAAATAAAGATAATTTTAAATAAGATGGAAATTGAAATTTAAAAGAATATGAATTTATTGAAATTTATAAGTATAAAATATATTTAACATTATTATTTTTTTAAAAGAAATTAATAAAAATCGGGTCATACAGTTTAATTAGTGACCCATCAATTTAACCTTTGACCCACTGACCCAATACCCTAATCGGTTTAAAGACCGATCCGATTTTTAAAACTATGACGATATGAGAATTATGAAAAAGAGCTTAATTTTGAATTATTATTCATATAATTTATTATATTAATCAAAAGATATATTTTAAGTAAAAGTAAAGGGATATTTAGAATAAAATCTAATTTTATAATAGAATTAATTAAAAATAATCATATCAAATTTGTTTGTTCTTATAATATATTGTTGATAATAAGAAATGTGAATAGGACAGATCAGACTAAACTTTAAATATATAAGTTAAATCTATTATGTAAAATTAAAGTTTAAGTTTGACCTATTATTTATGATAGACTTTTTTTTATTGATTTGATGTGGCCTTTTTCAAGTTTGACCTGACCTATTAGTTTATTTAAAAAATCTATTTAAATTATTGATTTGATGTCAAAATAAATAAAACTTAAAGAAAACTACTATATGTATGTCCTATACAGAAAATGGCTCACTTCACTATGGTCATCTTAAACGTCTGGATAATTAAACCAAATCTCTAAAACCACACTCTCAGGCTGTTCCAAACATCAAGTAACGCAACTTACACAAGTGCCAACCAGCCCAAACTCCCCTAAGCAACACATCCACATGCTCAATGTTGGATTGGCACAGTGAATAATGCCTAGTGGCTCCCACAGACAGAACAAATAGAGTTTAAACAAGGTTGTCAAACTCAAGTCACTAAAAAATATATAGGGGGAATATTTTTAGCATCATTTTAAATTAATCTCTACAGTATTACAAATTAGTCTTTCAGGTAAGTCACGGTTTAGGCTCTAAAAACTCTTAGAGGACCAAAGGACATGTTAATGTTTTTCAGAGTCTAATTTGCTTCTGCCAAAAAAGTTGAAATAATTTTGTAGTTTATTCACTGTCATTTCAATTCCAATAGCAGTTTATTGTTCCTCTCCCACAGATTAAATAAATAAAAATAATAAAAAATCTATTGAATGTGCTCAGCAAAAGGATATTACCTTCACGACAACCAATTTAATATCAGAATTTTCCTCATCTTCAGTTAAAATTTGGAGCAGTCGAGAAACCTGTAACAATTAACAAGACAAAAAAAAAATACCGACAAAGTTAGAAAATTGGAAATGGAATGGGAATTCAAACTTTTCCCAGACAGAAGAAGAAAATAAATTTTGGAGTTTAGAGAGGTATGAACCGCTGATTTTTTGATGGGCAACTAAGATTACTTACTTTAAACAAATCAACAATACGTTGCTGCAAAGTAAAAATAATTTATGAAAAAAAGTGACGCAATGAACAAATTAAAGTACCATATAAAAAGAGAGAGCATTCAATTGCTTAGGCCTGTTTAGCGTCAAAACTCTCGCATGTGATTTACGCTGCACCAGAAGCTGTCGAACAAAACGAAAATCAGTTAAGATAAATAAATCAATGTATAAAAAAAATAGCTAAATCAAAAGTATATCATTTTACAAACGTATCAAATAATGATAATAATAATTATTATTATAGATGCAGAAAGAATGAAGAAGTGTTTGTAGTCGACGCGGTTATAGAGAAAGAGAAAAGATGAACCTGTTGGGCTTCGGCCATGGCGCCAAAGAAGGTTGGTTTGGTTTGGGGTTTTCCGTGCTCTGGTCTTGGAGATAGAATAGAACCCAAAATATGGTGGTTGTTTGCTAGAAAGTATCACTGTTTTTAATATTCACCTACCTATCTAGAATCTATATTTAGTTATTAACCTTAAATGTGTTTTTAAATCACTTGCATTCGCATTTAAGATATATTTATTTTTAGTTATTAAATGTAAAAATAATTTTTATAATATTTATAATTTAAAAAATATTATTTTAATTTTTATATTTAAATTTTATTAAAAAATTTATTAAATATTATCGTATAAAATTTATTTAATATTTTATAAGTGAAAATATCACATTAATATTGTATAATTTTCTTGATTTGTCACTTTTAGATATATTAATGATGATCTAAAAGACTAAAACAAAATTCTTGAAAAATTACGAAGACTAAAAACATTTTTAAATTTAAAAATCCTAAAATAAATTTCTAACTAAAAATATATTAAAACCTCTATTGTATAATCTACTATGGAGAGAAAAAAAAGTTATTATCTCCCTTGATTAAAAATAGAGAAAATAAAAAATTATTTAGATAAGTTGTAAGATTATTCAAGGTTATATATAGTTATTGAAGCTAAAATGAAAAATATAAAAGTATACACTAATGAGAAAATCTCTTTTATTATTAGTATAAATAATAATGTTTAAACAAGAAACATAAATAAATATTTTTCTTTAGTATCTATTTTTCAAAATTAATTATATTTTAATTTTATGAAAAGTACATATTAATATATTTTTCATAAAAATGAGAATTTTCTAAGTTAAAAAATGAAATTCTTATGAATCTTTTACTCTTAGATTAATTCCTAAAATTTGAGAAACTTAGAAAACTTTTAATCTTTTGTTTTTTTTTTGGTAAATTGAAAGGGTTAAAAAAATTCCAATAAAGATCGATTAAAGTCACCAAAGTAAGGAATAGAACTTACATCAACTTACTATTAGAACAAAAAAAGGCATAACATTAAAAATTCTTAAACTTTCATAGAGAGACAAACCAAAACTAATTAACTTGTCGACAGGGCCAAAGCTAGAACTTTATTTTTCTAAACATACTTTCAAACTCGTTGAGGCCCCTACCAACCCCAAATTGCCATAAATAAGGGGATAGCCCCTCCCCAATTCATTCGAAAGTTAAATAAATATAGTTTGAAGAAATTGAAAACTCTTCGTCATTAGTCCCCTTCCAAGACACAACATCCACACCATGCTACATTTTTGGGGGAGGGATGGACCTAATGCAAGCCATAATTGATACTAAAAGAAAGCCACTAATAAGTTGGAAATTCCAGCCCCTTGTTTTTGTAGCAAACTAAGAAACAATTTTAAGCAACCAGTCCTTTAGGACTTTCCTTAACTTTACTCGCAATAGACTCCCGTAATCGAGTACCCAAGCATTTTGCCAACATTCTCCCTAAGCTTTGCTTTATCCTTACCTCATTCCTTGTCGAAACATTCTTGAAACTTAATCAATTCTTCCATTTGCATGTATTTCACTACTCTTTAACGAAACTCTTCCATAAAGAGTGTCAGCTTCTTGTACAGACTACCTAGGAAAGGACCTGGCTTCAAAGTTGTTAACATCTAGTGCAAATCGACTTCCTCAACCAAGTTGAGGATTTCAAAGGCTACCTTCACAAACCTATCCATGAAGGCTACCTTCACTACCTTGCTTAATGCTAATAAGAGCGATCAACATCATGGCGTGCGGCCAGCTAGTGCCAAATTGCATAGTGAATTAAAAGACTAGCATTCTAAAAAAGTGAATCAAGTAGGAAAGGAGACGTGTAAACCACTTTAGGGCTACCCCCTTTAGAGAATTAGAAAACAAACAACATATAATTGCATCAGTACTAGTAAGCATGCTAACATCTGAAGCATACAAATTAACATGGTCATTGGGGTTAAAGGTTTCATCATACTTGTCAAAGCCCATGTTCTTCCATCCCCTTAAGAGAGCTACCTCTATGATATCATTTGTGAAGGAATGCTTACAAATTCTTCAAGAATGGCATTAAAATGAGGTATTGATGTGGCAGCCTAGCGAGATGCCTAAGTAATCAGAATCCCCTTTGAGATTGGCACTTCAGATGAGGCCATGTTATAAGGAAAAATGGAATCACCTAAGGAGTTAGATGAGTCTAGCCACCAAGTATGATCGTTACCCCTAGTTATTATCTTCGTACTGTTTGCGATTGTTCAATCAATCATCACATTTTGGAGTTTTGTTGCTTAAGGATTGTCATCTTCTTCTCATGTTGTTTCTATTGTCGCTTGCTTTGCTCACAACATTTTTGTAGCTCCTTCTGTAATTCTAATAACATTCGAGTGTTGTTTGGTATCTATTGATTTAAGCTTGGTGACTCACTTGTTCTTACCATATGCTTGTTAATAGATATCATAAGAATAATTTTTCTATGGTCTATAGTGGGCGTCAAATGTACTTGTTGAAAAAGTACTTGTCCTCATCCAAAGTCTTTAGTCTTTAAATTAGTGGTTGTACCTATTAAGTCAAAAGGCGGTCTTGGATCACTTAAGTTTTTAATGATAACAAACAAAAGATTTTCCTCTAAACTAAATGAATTATCCACAAAGATATCCTATATCAAACGAAGTGTGAAAAATATATATTGTCTATAAGATGAAGAAAATTAGACAAAACATGCAGTCTGTCTCATTATGCATTAAACATATGCATCTAAGTGAGACTAACATTAAATTTCATTAAGTATTTTATTCCTTAACATATCGAACAAGAAAAAAGTCTTGGAACTCTCAAAATCTGTTAAAGAAGGAAAAGTCAATTTATTTGTTAGAAGCAAAAGGAAAAATTCCAAATATCATGGAAAAGGCTCTGTAAAGAACTGCTCTACGCTAACTTCAACTGCTCAACACTGACATTACTTCTGTCATGCTCGTTTTAGAAGGAAATGATGATAAGTAGCTCACTAGATTATATAAGAAATATATGCCTTACTGAAAGGCATTTAATGCTCCCATTAAATGTAGCAATGATAATCTCTATGATCAATAAAGAAGATAGATGAAGCAACTCATGAAGAAAATTGTGAGTTCAACTCAAAATTGTTACAATGATCATCTTCTATGAAGCTACTATAAAAGAATCAAGTCTTCAAGAAAGAAAAAATAATGAACAACAAAGAAACAAAGAAATTATACACATTGAGAAAATTGTATAGAGAAACATACTAAAATACACAGAGTAGAAAACTACAAAGAAAAACTTATGATAAATCTTGTATATATTTCTTTGTAGATTACTTGTGCTTTCATTACTGATTACACCATGTCTAAAAGAGACGAAACAATCTTGTAATCATTCATTACCTTTATTGTAAGGGGGTTGAGCTTAGAGATGCTTGTTGAAAGAATACTTAGTGTTAAGCCTGAAGAGACTTGTTTGAAAGAATACTTGGTGTTAAGCTTAAAAAGGCTTGGTTGAAAGGATACTTGGTGTTAAGCCTGAAAAGGCTTGTTGTTCAAAGAATATTTTGGTAGTTACTTAAAGAGGCAAGTCAAAGACTACTTAGGATTGAGCCAAAAGTGACTTGGTAAAAGAATACTTGTCACTTTGTTGAAAGTTAGTGGAACTCAATCTGGTTGGATTGAGAACTGGATGTAATCTTGGTGGTTGAGATAAATTAGTATAAAAATCTCTAATGTTTCATCTAACTCTTCTCCAGCGCTTCGTTTCATAAGTTATTTTCTTTTCACTACACAAAAGTGTGAGGTTTTGATATACACTTTTCAACCCCCCTTCTAGTGTGTCTTTTCTCCATAGTACCTACAAAAGGGACTCCAATGCCAAAGTTGGTGGATAATCGGAGTGTATGGTGTAATTGTAAGAGTAAGTGTACCAACTAAAGGTGAAATGTAGGTGTATATATATGAGACAAAATGTTACCATTAATCGATAAGACATTTTTAAATACATTTAAGAAATTTTATTATTGCATAATGATCAGACATTACTATTTGTTAAGCTTGATCTGAAAGGAATATGTTCAGCAAGTCAAATATTGATTGGTCTTGGGAAACATACTATTCAGTGAAACAATATTTGGATCCTTGTTATGTAGTCTTGGAGGTATCCTTTTGATATTAAGTTGAGAATCAACAAGTCTTTAGTGTGGAAACTCGAGACCTATCAGATATAGTTTGGATTCATCTTCACACAACCACCATGATATATCTTCAGAAATCATGCAACTTTATCTCTAAGCTTATAGTCACCTATACAAGGGGCACCAATTATCATTCTAATCCTAATTCTATTTATAAAGAACATCATATCTCCTATTGAAACACCTACAAATTCTACAGGTATTAAGTTTCTTCTTGGAAGCTTTAAAAAATATCAAAGAAGAAATGGAGGAGAGTGTATTCCTCTCGATGTGCTAAATCCACATTATTTTTTTGCATTTCCTCTTAGTTAGAGCTATTAGAGGTAAGGGAAGTTTATGAATTGAATGTTGTTTGATGAATACTTGTTGTTTTGTTGCCTAGATTTGTCATTGCATGATTGAGTTGGTGAAAATTATGAATTTAAAAGTTGTTCAAAAAATGCTATTTAAAGTTCTCTTGAGTGACTTTAATGATCTTGAAGTTTGATGGTTGTATGTATTGTTTTGAGTTGGTTTGGTGTTGTTTATGGTGCATATATGTTATATGATGGATTGCATGTTGTTTGGGCTAGTTTGATTTGCAGGATTTAGTCATTTGATGATTCTGTTATGTGAGAAAATCATCATCGCATCGAGCATGGCATAAGTTAGGAGTTCTCTACCCTGATCATGCTAGGTGCATGATTGGTAGTGCCAGTCATGGATCAATGAGGAGCTCTCCAAGCATGAGTGATTGAGGAGCTTTCTTCCTTGGTGACATCAAGCCCAAGTGGAGAGGCGTCAAGTATGACACAGAGATTTTTTACTTGAATGACTCTCTACTTGAATGATGCTAGGTGTAAGTTGAGTGGTGTCAAACATGAGTTAGGTAGAAACTCTCCATGTGAATGAGGCCAGACATGGGTAGTCAACTG